CTTTACAGGGTTAAGAAAGGGGACGGTGTTTTTTTAGTCCCAGGGCGTTTCTAGGCTTTTTGGGGGCCTATGCAAGATGCTTGTTTGGGGGCCTAGTTTCTTTACAGTTTTTAACTACAATGGGGGATCTCCGAAGCCGATTTAAGTCAGCTGGCGGTCGCCAGACCGTCGATCGCGATCGAGCGGTCCGCCCGGGTGAGATCGCGGACAGTTATAAAAAAAAAGTAACAAAGAAGACACGATTAAACTTAAAATAATAATGTTGAAAAAACCTACGTTTTATATATGTAAACCTATCATCTCGCCACCACCCCGTTAGCAGGTGCCACTTGATTGACGTATATTTGAGACACCTCAATAATATAATACATTAACCGTGCTTTACGTGGAGACGCAGAAAACAGGCTAATTTCACAAAAACCAAGCAATTATATTGAAAAGGTAAACAATAAGGCTCCTCTACGTCAATAAATGCAAGAGATGCAGCATTTTTTCAACAATGTATAATTTACATTTTTCATCTTCCTCAGACATCACTCATTGGCTGACAGCCCAACAATGATTTGGACTTTATTTCCCCACAAACACAAGCCACAGCTTTGCTATCATTGCAGTTTAGTTGTGTTTATATCCTACATTTGATTTTTTTAAGCATAATGCTTCACCGAACACAGGAGGGGGCTTGGCTGTCTACAAATAAAGACGGCTAATTTTAACTCTCCCCAAATATATTGAGGCTGAACCTGAACTTTCAGCTTGGGGGCCCCCTAGTGGCCGCGGGGGCCCTATGCATCTGCATAGCAGGGGGGTCAAACTCAATTTCATTTCGGGCCACATCAGCATTAAGGTCGCACTCAAAGGGCCGGTTGTAACTTCAAGACTATATAAAAATACATATATAAATATATAATATATATAAAATAATGTATTATATGGCAGTATTGCCTGTGCATTGGATCATTATCAGATAGGGTAATAACTTCATAATTAACTACGTCTGAAAGCAGAAGTCTAGAGCAAGTAATTGCAAGTCTCTTCAGTGAGAATGTCACAATGATTTAAAAAGAAAAGCCAAATTCTGGAGAAAAGGTCCAAATAAAAAAAAGAAGTGACAATTTGAAAAAAAAAATCAATTCTGAGAAAAAGACAAATTCTAAGAATTAAGGAATATTTTTATGAAAAAAAATTCAATTCTGAGAAAAAGTCAAATTTGAGATGCATTGTGGGACATGTAGTTCATGGGCAAAGTGCTTCTGTAAAGCGTATAATAAACATATTATGTTCTTTGCAAGCTCTTGTGGGCCACATACAATGAAGTCGCGGGCCGTATTTGGCCCCCCGGGCCTTGATTTTGACACCCCTGGCCTATAGGAAGAAACGGCCGTGTTTTTAGCTCAAAAACTGTCCATGTAAAGAACACGTTATTCTGCTTTTGTTCAAAAATGTTTAAGACAACAACAATATATTACAAATATAAATATATGGATGTTTGTTGTAATTGTACAAAGCTTTGGCAACACAAAGTTTTTATGGCCATGCCAATAAAGCTATTTGAATTTGAATGTACATATATTTACTGAACATTATGCTTCTGTTTTTGAATACCACACTTACTGAACTCGATGAGCAGTTTGCCGTAGCCCCTCCGCTGGTAGGGGGGCAACGTCAGGATGCAGGCCACGTTATAATCTTCAGTCGACTCTTTTTCCTGTGTGCAGAAAAGAGAAATATAATTTAGTTTGGGGTTTGTTTAGATATTGCACTTTTTCCAAGCTGTATTAAGTGAACTTCACAAAGAGATTTGCATAACGTGTGTACCTTAGAGTAGTATCCCACTATGTGGAAGCCTTTTGAGTCATACTCGGTCATCACATAGAATAGGAAAGGGTCTGTGTCGTAATACAAGGTTTTGTGGTCCAGGAAACATTTAGCGAGTAAACACAGGTTCTGGGAATAATTCTGGAAAAACATAAACAGACGTACATCAATCAGTAACACAATAAAAAAACATGACTTTTGTGAAAAATTGAAAAATAGATATCTAAAAGCTCACTTTGTTTTTCCTGCCGTCTATCTCAAAAAAAGAGATGGTGCCTTTGCGGTAGATCTCGTTGCCCGGCGGATGTCTGAGATGGCATTTTGTCTGTGAAAGAAACAGGAGGATGAGTGCAACGATCTAAGACCCCATTTACACACAAACGAACCGAATACGATATCAAAAAAGTATTCCGTTCACACCAGACCGCTCGAAAGCGCTGGAGACGCTGTAGTACATATGCCGGGCCTGTAAGTGGCGCTGTACTACCGCCACAAAATACACCAATAAGAAGCAACAGACTGACGCGTAAATACCAAGCCCCCAGTTAGTGCGCCGGACTCTGAGGAAAATATTCGTTGTGGCCAAACGGCGGTACTACACTTCCGTATCAGTCGCTGGGGCCGGAAAGACTTTTTCCCATTGACTTACATGGGGAAGGAGACGTCTGTAAATCGTTGGCAACGATTTACAGACGTCTCCTTCCCCATGTAAGTCAATGGGAAAAAGTCTTTCCGGCCCCAGCGACTGATACGGAAGTGTAGTACCGCCGTTTGGCCANTGAAGCGCACAGAGAAAAGTGTCATGTATTTTACGTCATGTGATCGGCTCTCCCGATCGGCCTTTATAGAGAGCACCGATGGATCGGCCGAGAGTGAATACCGGCGGCCGATTGATCGGAGCATCCCTACTTTATATGAATGTTAACCTTTTTTTCCCTTTTTATTTCAGAGGAAGAGTTTAGAGCTCAACGCACAGTCGGCCTCGGCTCCATCCAGAGGGAAAACTCTCCCCACACCGGTANTGAAATAAAAAGGGAAAAAAAGGTTAACATTCATATAAACTAGGGATGCTCCGATCACTCTCGGCCGATCGATCGGTGCTCTCTATAAAGGCCAATCGGGAGAGCCGATCACATGACGTAAAATACATGACACTTTTCTCTGTGCGCGGCAAAACAAGCTCACCAAGATGGCCTCCCCGGTTTGGCAGTATTTTAAGGTGTCCGAAAAAGAGCGGCCGGTATGCAACGTGTGTGAAGCAGAAATCCTGCAGCTCCACCCGCTGTGACGGACCGGTGAGCGGAGCAACACACACACTAAGAGTTAGACCTAACACACTTAGCTATTGTATCTACCTCTGGAACAAGATGAACTAGGTATAAATATATGTATTCTTCACTGCCGGGTCACTCATTACTGGATCAGTGAGCTGCATGAGATACTGACCGGCTGTCAGGAGAGAGAGAGAGAGAGAGCGAGAGAGAGATGGGGAGAGAGGAAAAGAGAGCGCTTCCGCTCATTTCTCCTGTGTTATTATCCAAAGTTAATGTAACCTTGAATAATGTACTTCATTTGAATGTAATAATTATGTTGTTTGTGGAAGCGCATCATTTATTGAACAATTAATCTGAACTTTTCAATCCGTTACGATTATTAACTGAAGCAATATAAAAATGAGCCCCAGTAACTGAGTTTTAAACATCACTTTAAATGGAAGATCCCCAGAGCCCCCCCCCC